TAATGGAGAGCTTTTAGGTTGAGTGTCGTCTTTCTTTGACATCAGAGATATCGCCCTGAGTCAGGTAGAATAAGATGCCTCCTCTAGGGAACCAAAAAGAAAGGATTCTATAGTTACCCATGTCCCCTGCCTTGTCTAGAAAGTGCTCAAAGAGCAATTTTAACAGAGCTCAGTGTAAGGTGCCATCCAGACCCAACCAAAATCAGAGAACTCAGCAGATGCTGATTAACATCCCTGAGAAATTCTTCCAGTTTCTCTAGAACTTGAGAAGTAATTGTGGTGAAGCATTTTCAGCAGACACAGATAGGGATACAGTATTAGCATTGACAATAAATAAGAGGCTTCCCCCACCTCTCTCCCGCTGAGGTCCACCATGACTGGATGTGCTGCGGTGGGCTGTCTCACTGCCAAGGGTCTCGACTGGCCATCGAGCAGGAAGTGCCTGGCCTCGCAAGCCAGGGTGCAGGGGAACCTGGTCACTGGCAAATGCTGGTAAAGCAAGCAACTTCAACAACAGCAAAACACGTTAGTTACCACCGAGAACATGAAACCAAATATCAGTGTACATCCCTGAGGACTCTGAGTCATTCAATCCACCTCACTCATTCATGTATCATCCCTTTAACAGACTCTTAGTAAGTGTCTACTACCAGAACTGAGGACTTTTCATCTGCACCAGGAAGGGAAGAAACAAAAGTCCATTTGGATTCTATTTTTAAGCTCTTACCCTTACCCAGTGCATGACCTTGAGGTTAAAATTTAGGCATGCAGCAACACTTCTACCTGCTACAGGGTGGTAGCCACTCATTAAAAAAAAGCTTCAGTGTGCAAAAAGTGCTTTGTGATTCTTACTTGAAGGACACAAATAAGACGGAGAAGCAACAGCACAATTAACTCATTATCCAGAACATTCAGCTGCACTTGTGATCTTGAGGACTATCATGAACTCTTGTGTTAAAGGCTCCTAATTTAGAAGATCCAGTCATGCTGCAGTTGCACCTTCTGCCCCATACTAACTTTTCCTGGGGAGGTCCTGTGTGGGCACATGGTTCTGTGACAGGCAGCTGCAACACCGAAGCTTCAAAGTAGTCTCTGGGGAGCAGCACCAGGTAATCCTACCAAAGACCCAAAAGACAGTTACTCATTTTTCTGGGAGCCCTATCTTGATGATAAAATAACTAAACATACTAGCTAAATTAACAACCAGATGAAGTTCCTGGTTAACCTCTCTATTGCAACTTCCTGTTCCTTACTCTGACTCACCAAGACCCATAAATAACTCTGGGGGGTTCTTTACATAGGGGTGTTTCAGTGTGAACATTGGTATTTTTCAAACTGCAGAAGAAATTTTATTTTCTCTTCTAAGTCATTTATAAATCCAAAAATTAGCAACGATTATAAGCTGTCCATTGATAAGATGCTCTCTTGAGAGGCTGGCTGCCTTCAGCAGAGAACACCCAACGCAGATCATGTCAGATGGCTTTCTGCTCCTTGCAGAAAAAAAAGGTTCAGAAAAAAGGTTTCACAATTCTTGGTGACTCAAGAGAATGGACTGACCTACAGCTTGTCCTACCAAATGGGAAGAAGAGCATGTTCTAAGAAGTGTGCCAAATGAAGCCCACTCAGAATAAATTCTGTTAACCAGCTCTTCAGGAATAAATCTCCAGGCTTCAAGATATGGATAATTTGACAGGTTCTCAGCAATCTCATATATGTGGCCTCACCATAGATGTGCAAGGAAAGGAGGAAGGGACATGTAATCAACAGCAAGGAGAATCATACCTGGTCTTCCTGGTATTTCTCTCCTCAGGGAGAAATGGCTAGGAGGGAGAAAGTAGGAGATTGTGGCTCGGGTAACTCGGTGGTCTCATTACCTGTTATGGTTTAAATATGAGGTGTCCCCCCAAAACTCACGTGTGAGATAGTGCAAGAATTTCCAGAGGTGAAATGATGAGGTGATAAGAGATGTGATCTAATCAGTGAATTAATCCAGATATGGATTCAGTGGGCAGGTGGGGTGTGCCTAGAGGAGGTGGGGTGTGGCACTGGGGGTGTGTCTTTGCAGTTCCGATTTTGTCCCTAGTGAGCAGAGCTCTCTCTCTACTTCCTGGTGGCCAGGTTCTGAACTGTTTTCTTCTACCACACCCTCTGCCGTCATGTTCTGCATCACCTCAGGCCCCGAGCTATGGAGTTGGCTGATAATAGACTGAACCTAATAACTGTGAGTCAAAATAACTTTTTTTCCTCTATATTGCTCTTGTCCTGTCTTTTGATCACAGTGACAAAAAACTGACTGAAACACTGAGTTTTACTTTCAAAATGGTTATCATTCTACTTGTAATATTACTGAGGTTGGAACTGTATCACCTCATTCCTTGATATCCCATAGATCCTAGAACAAAAAAGGTTGATAATAGGTGCCCAATAAAATATTTTTAGGAGAAATGGAATCATTATGGGGAAAACTCCATTTGCTCTACTATGCAGTGGCACCGACTATACACCATTAAACATATTCCATGCCTCGTAGTAACTTATAATGAATCCTCCTTTCCATTAGTCCAAGTTTGTGCCCACGATTGACTTCATTAGAATTTTCCTCATCCTCATTTCTAACATCTGTGCAGCCATTTTAAACTTTTTTTTAAAAAAGCAGCACAGTTTTCTGCCAAGAAAGTGCAAAAAAAAAAAAAATCAGGAACAAATGGACAGGATAAACCTACATGTTATCTTTATAAGGTTCCAGATTTGGAAAGGATCTGTAAGGATTAAATACTGTCCCTATTGTCTGGAATCAGCAAGAAAGGCAGGCTTCCAGTTGAGGTCAATCAATGGGGTTGTGCCAGAAGGAAAACTTCATATTTTCCACTCAAAGAGCAAAAAACCAAGATTTTGCCAATGATTTTGTCTTGAGAAGACCCTGCTATAAGTAGAAGCAGACTTCAAAACAGATATCAAAGAAGGGTGTCCTAGAGAACAAGTTTTATCTCTCTGCTTCTCTGGTTACTTTATTAGTGTTGGTGGACACAGCTTTTCCTTTGATGAACAGTTCTTTGTCAAAAGCAACCAGTTTGGTGAAATTCTTGCCTAGGTTTAATGTAGGAGAGAGCAGGAACAGTATTAGGGCTCCTGTGGCCTCTTCTCACTGATATTAGGGTTTTCTTGTCCTCTGTTTTTCTGACTTCATTCTGCACAGTCCCCAGAAAGGCTTATTTTTTTAGGTACCCTCTGATTTATGATGGGAAATACCAAAGGAGCATTTGGAAGGCAGGGATATATATGCATAGGAAAGCTTTGCATTTGTTCTGATAACTTTGAGTCACTGTGAGTTACAGTTTAGGTTATTTGGTTTTTGTGTTTTGTTTGCCCAAGAGAAGCTGGCTAGAAGGAAATAATCTTACATCATTATGTCATTTTAGGGGAACGGTCACCTTAGGTTCCTGTATGATAAAAGGGAAATCTGTGGCAGGGGATACAGCTCAGTTGGTAGAGTGCTTGCCTCACATGCACAAGGCCCTGGGTTCAATCCCCAGTACTACCAAAAAAAAAGGGTGGGGGAAATCTGTGATTTTGATGTTTTCTGGTCACTGTTGGGTCATGGTATTGGATGAGACCAACTCAAGTGGGGGAACATCCCTCAGAGATCCCCATTCATTCAGAACTCTGTCTTACCAAGAGGACTCCTTCTGCCTTGATACAAGCAATCCATGTCCCCGGTGTCAATGAGAACTGGTCTGCAATGCCTTTTCCAGGGATGGTGACAAAAGCTGGCTCCTTGCTCGGCAGGAAGGTGATCTCTTTGCTTTGAGCAGCACCTACCAGAAATGCGAAGAACTGTTGCAGACATCTTTCTAGCAGCTAGTGTTAAGACTTTAGATAGCTCAGTTTCGAGTACTCAGTTTATATCTGAAAAAGTTTAAGATGGTTTACTGATCATGAATACTGATCAGATTTACTGCTCTTACTTTTTTTAAAAAAATTTGTGTATATGCATATGTACTAAAATAGACCAGAAAGATATTGATAAGATGTTAGCAGTGGTTGCCTATGCTGGAAGTGTAATTTTGAATATTTATAATATAAGAATTTTAGCTTCTGTAAGCTGTTGATGAATGTTTCTTATTTATAATATATGCTTATTATATTCCACTGATAAGTTATTTTTCTTTTCTTATATGAGATTTTGATTTTTATTAATGAGCATACATTCATTTTGTTATGAAAATTTTGGGCCTCCTATTTATTTTCAGGATGCAACATTTTTCCTCTGCATTAAACAAACAGAGGACCTTCTGCAGATGGCTCAGAAACAAACAAGACTTGTATGTGAATCCAAATGAGACTTTTTTCTTGAGAAGAAATGTTTGCTCCAAATCCTTGCATTCACTCTCATTCTACAGACATCTATGTGCCTGGAACTGAGTTCTGGGGACAAGGCAGTGAACACAGTCACATGGTCTTTACTCCCCAATGGTGAGGACGGGGAATTTGAGGGATAGAGATGATAAAACAAGAGAACATGGTACAGGGTGAACAGTGCTGTTTTGGGAAAAGAACATGTTACCCTGGGAATACATCGCTGAGCTCCTGACTCAGACTTGGGGAGAATCGCCCCAGAGGATGAGACAGCAAACTAAAAAGTATTCTGACTATACATATGAGTTAACAGAGGGCAGACTGCTGATGGCGTTGTCACCCAAGGGTTCTATTAGCAAGAGTTTGGAATCTGAAGACTTTGTCTATAAAGTCCAGCTGTGCACCCAGGCAATTTACTCAACCTCTCAGCTTTGTTGCCTCCTCAGTCCACAAAATTCTTATCACCGGAGGGAAGGGATGCTAGACTACTCTGTACACCAGTTCTGCCTACTGGGTATTAGTTAACCAACCTCCATTCCTACAATCTTGACTGACATGACTGGGGCATGACATCATTTCTTCCCACCCATTCCAATTCTGCTGTGGATGCTGAACCCGGATGCTCACATCTTGATCCTAAATTAGATTTCATTGGGTGCCATTTTGGGTCTTTATGAGACTTCAAATGCTCCCTGGAATCTGTTTCCAAGAGCAATAAAAGCCCTGGTTCTTTATAGGACCCACTCCCAGGCCTTGTCCCTAGCTGTGGGTAAGGCTGTATTCTCCTCTCGTGTCCCTCTGAAGGAGAATTTGCAGATTTCTTCCTGGAGTTCTGTTGGGATCTGTGCTTTACAGCCTTCATCTTAAAAATTCCTATCCTCACCCACTTCTCCTTGAACTACGTGGTTTGCTTGAAACAATGAGAGAATTAAGAGCAAGAGGCCAAGCTCCCCTAAATAATACCAAAAAGGTGATACCTGCTATACCATGAATGAGCTATAAAATCAGCTTTGCTCAGTGAAGGTATCATGACACATTGGATCAGCCAAGGTACAAAGGTTGCTATATCATTTTTAAAGTCACAGTTAATGATAATTTAACAGAAGAAGTTAAATAATCAGGAACTTTAGAGAATGAGAAGGTAACAAAGAGCATCCAGAGAACTGTCCAATCCAACCACTTACTAGGTGTAATGTTTTCTAAGAAGGATTACCTTTGGGAAAATTGGAGAAAATAATTTTTTGATCATTTTTCTTTATTATTGAAAAGAGACTTAGAATTTTACCCACCTGACTTCACCCAAGATGGATAAATGGTTATATGGCCAGAAATGGCTTCAGTTCCAGGGTTTACATATCTCAGAATAATGTGAAACAAGGAGAGATTTGGCTTCCCCATATCCAACATCACCCTTACTTCATTCTGAAAAAGATCAAAAAGCCATGAAGCACAGAAAACAGGTTAAAAGAAATGCTAGCCAACCAATGACTTCCTTCTATTTGAGTTTCACTATTGAACTTATATACAACACACACACACACACACACACACACACACACACACTCACACACACATGTTCACGCTCACTCAACAAGGACCAAGGAATTATATGGAAACAATCGAGCCTAACAATGAATTAAAATCACTTACAGGGACAGTATGCTCTCTCAGCCACTGAGATCCTCTTTTGACCTTTTTGTGATCAGGCAGACAGAGCGAAGGATTAGATGGACTAATTTAAGAAAGCCATGGTGACGGAGACAACCACCACTGGCTGGGAAAAAATAAAAGGGCAGAAGAGAAGGAAAGGAAAGTGTATTATTTCACACACCACCCCACTCCCATAAGAGAGTACTCTAGGACCCATTTCACATGGAGAAAATCTAAATGGTCACAGAAGCCAATGGTGGCTGTGGAAAGGTTAAAGACCCCAAACACATTAGTGATAAAATGTGGATGTCACTAAACTATGCCTATTATGTCTTATGAAGTTTTATCTCAAGCCCTTTTCCGAGGAGAAATGTTGGATTTTCCACCTGAAGGAGGAGCCAGTGGTTTCCAAGCCCTGAGGCTCGTACAATACTCTAAGCATTGCAGAACCCATGCAATTTTAATTTGGAGCCATAGACATGTTCAGATCCACTGCGGTCTAAGGAAAGTTCATGAAGTGTGGAAAATCTCAGATCCGGTTCTTTTGGTCTCTTTCCCAGCATCTTTGGTTGCAATGCAGGGAAAATATGTTAAGTGAGAATCTGGTGACAACAGACTGACTTAGGGTAGGATCACTGGCCCTGGATACAGGAGCTATGGAGCTACATGTGACCCACAGTCAGGAATACCTGGTGGTCCTCAGAATTTGACTGTGTTCATCTTTCAGTGTTAGTTTCAAGTTGGGAGATAAATAAGCAAAGAGGTCACTCAAGGACACCATCAATGTCCTCTGACCAAAAAGACTCAGAAAAATCTATCCTTAGAAACTCATTTATTTGGGTCAATCAAACTTTTTTTCACCTGTGAGAGGGTCTATACCTTGATTGGGCTCTTGGTCAGTCATTGACATGCTATTCTGACTTTATAGAATCTGACATTTTTTGATAATGAAATGAGATCAGAGCATTAAGGAAACTGAATTTCTGTCTTTGGGCAGAAGGGGAAGAAAGTGAGGTGTTCTAAGGTTCTAGGTGTTATTTGGGAAAGGCAGATTGGCTGGGGGGAATTTGACCAGGCAAAAAGCAGCATTAGAATCAGGAAAACTATGAGCCTATCTCAGTTTCTCTATGGAGTATTCTAGACCTGAATCTTCTCAGGATAAGTGTTGAGCTACCATGGTCATCAGACTTCCTCTTTTTGTGAATTTCTCCGCCAAGACACAGCTCAAAGGGATCAACCTCCAGGAGAAATTCTGAGGTCAAAACTGCTCAATGACTCTACAGGATTTTTTGTTGTAAATATCGCATAAGGGTATAAAGGTAAACAACATGTAATCATCCTTACTCTAATGTAAAGTAAAGAAGGATGGATAAAATAGAGAAGAATGAAGCAAAGGAGAAGTAAGGGAAAGAATAATTAAATAGCACTAACTAAAACTCATCATTTATTTTTAGTTTCTATTCCCAGGGTAATTTGTATTTAAAAATGATCAATAAAAAAATTAGTGACACTAACTATATTAGAATTATTTAAACTAACTTATTTTTTTTTCACACAAATGTCTCTAAAGGAAATGTCCCTTGTGTGATAATATAGCTAATGTCATTTTAGAAACTTCCTTCTTCTTGTGAAAAGTGTCCAGAGATGAGCACCATTTTTCTTCATTTCTTCATTTTCTGATTGGTGACCAAATGAAAGTAGCAATGACCTTTGGAATCCACACGTGTATTTATCAGCTAAAACCTCACCTTACCCCAAACCCAAGCCTAACCTTAATTGAGACTCCAACCCAGCCTCTGGAGAAAAAGAATCCTGGAATCCACTCTGGGGACAGTTCACTTTCAATGGCCCCTGGAGAGTGTTGCCACCCTGCCGTGAAGCTGTGGCCTACTGGCTGCCTACCTGTACTGAGGTCATCTGGGCATATCCTCTCCAGCTAAACCCAGGAAATGCCAGGGGATCAAATCCAAACCGAAGGTCTCTTCCATTAGGTACAGTGCCATCCTCAATCTCATACTTCATATGATGCAAATTTGGGAAATAGTAGTTATTTTCAGGCCTTTTAAAGGAATAAAATGTAGATACAGCAAGTTAGGTTCATTGACCATCTGAATATTCTTCACTCCAATAATTACTGCTAAATGAACTCCACAAAGTTGACAAAGTGCATTAAATAAAGGCAAATGAGAGTGGACCCTCACTCTTTTATCTAAAATACTGTTTTATCAATGAAAACATTCACATAAATATCTATGTTCCAGGCCCTGTTGCTGTGCACCATACATAGATAGAGTGGTGAACAGGATATAAAATGTTTCATATGCTAGTTTACAAGTCAAAGAAGTTTCTCTATGTACACTTTTGATCATTAGAATGACTTTTCTGACTTGTTTTTTTCTGAAACTATATTACAAGTAATGAGAATCTTGCATGACATCACTATATGGGTGGTGCTGACTAATTAAGGGTTTCCTTTAAAGAGTCCTGTTGTGTCAGACACAGAGGAGGATCAAAAATATCCCAAGGCTGGCCTGGGGCTCAGCGATAGCACACTTGCCTTGCATGTGTGAGGCACTGGGTTCGATTCTCAGCACTACATATAAATAAATAAAGGTCTATCAACAACTAAAAACTATTTTTAAAAAAATACCAATGCTGTGTGGCAATTCAAACTACTTGAAGTTCTTTCAAATGATAAATTTTGCCAATCCAGTCACAAGCTAATAGCAGCTAGTGGTTTTAAAGCCATAAAAACCAATTATAATTAGTCAATTAGTCAAAGGGAAAAAAATAAAAGGCTCTGATCCTCTGCTTTAAGTAGAATTAGAAGCACTTGCTGGGCATGGTGGTGCATGCCTGTAATCTCAGCAATTAGGAAGTCTGAGGCAGGAGGATCACAAGTTCAAGGCCAACCTCAGCAACTTAGCAAAGCCCTAAGCAATTTTAGCAAGACCCTGTCTCAAAATAAAAAAACAACAAAGGCTGCAGATGCAGCTCAGTGGAAGAGTAACCCCAGGTTCAATCTCCTGTTCAAAACAACAACAACAACAAAGTGAGAAAGAAAGGAGGAAAAAAGGAATGCTTATATTTCTGAGGTGAATTTACAGAGAACCTTAAAAGTTTTCATATCCATTGACCCAATAATCTTATTTCAAGGTATCTATTCTAAAGAATGACTTTATATATACACTATCAAAGGATTAATATTAAAATGTTTAAAACAGTGAAAACTTAGAAATGTGAATGTACAAAAAAATTAGGAAATATGGATTTTATGAAATATATAACCATTGATATTTTGAGGACAATTTAATGCTAAAAGAAATATTTGTGATATTATGTGAAATTAACAGATAATTTGTTAATAATATCATGACAAATATTTATCATGAAAAAATAAAACTAAATTTCATTCATAAACAAAATCTAGAAAAAATATACTAAAAGTACTAAAAAAGATTATCTCTGGGTGGTAAAATGAAGATTTTTTTCTTTGCCTTTTTACTATCATAAACATTTACTTTCTACAATGAAAATTTATTAAATTTATAATAAAATTATTTAGAAAACAAACTGAATGTAAATACTTTTCAAACTTACACACAAACCTAAAAATTCTTAGAAAAAAATCACAAACTAACATTTGGGAGGACATAATACAAAAGGTTACAAGATTTGCCAGGCAGGAGAAAAGCTGATATGCCATATACATGGGTTGACCACCCTTCATTTCAGTTGTCATTTGCCACTATATCAAAGGACATATTCTAAATTTCGAGGTGTATATATATACATATGTGCATATGTGTGTATGTACAAATGCAAAATATGAAAAATATATGCTAAAATTCAAAAGGTTGATATTTTTCCCTATGGATGGGTAATTCAATTTTTATTTGGTTGCATTATATTATTTGGTTGCATTATATTATTCCACCTACATAGATGGAAGAAGAAAAAACATTTGCTAGAGTAGGGAAAAACTCATTTTGTAAATATAAGGGTAAAAAGGAGCAAAACAGAACACATTTACATTACAAAACATCACAAATCACTTCTGGTCCTTCACATGCCCTACTGGCTTCAGGAAAACAAATTTACAGGTTTATTCTTTCTCCTGGACCTTCTACAAAGCCCAGCAGTGAAAGCCAACTAGGAAGACTGAAAAAGCACAGCGTGGTGACCCTGACCTTTAGAATCCAAGTGTTGAAAACAATGAGGGAAAGAAGAGAAATACCATACTAGATACAAATCACTGTAACTACATACAAGATTTTTAAAATTAATCTGTCCGTGGTGCAATTAGTAAAGAAGGTGTCTGGTTTTCTGTGCATTTCCCAGAGTTTCCAGCACATGATTAAAAGTCAGAATATTTACACTTAAATTTTCCCTCCCTCCACTGAGAAATTATTATGAATGGATCATGTTATATATATATATATATATATATGTATATATATATATATATATATTTGTGTGTGTGTTTGTGTGTGTGTGTGTGTGTGTGTGTGTACCATCTATAAACAGCAGATGGGGTGACAATAAGCTGCTACTTGTATGGCCCCCTCTGGGTCTCAATCTCCATGTTGCTTTGCTGCTCTTAGTTCATTTTAACTTACTTCTGCATGAGATGAAGCCCTCTTCCCCACTCTGGAAGTTTTCTTACCCTCTGGTTGTGACATACCTGATCTTGCCACTCACTCCCTAATGACTCTGAGGGAGCAGCAGAAACTAAATGCCAGTGGTCCAGGAACCTGGGCATGTGCCATCTGCCCCTTATTCTCTCTCTCTTTCAAGAACTGGAGCTGGCTCTCTGCTTGGTTCCTCCATGCCATGACTTGTCCATGGGGGTTCACCCAGGTGAACATACCCCATGCTTCCAGCTTCCTCATGCCCCCCTGTCCTTCTGCACCTGTCCACTTCGAATCTGGAAACTCTGACATGCAGGTGCTCCCTGGCTTACAAAATGGAATAGGTTTTATGGGCATCATTATCTCCTATTTTACTTAACTCATAGACAAATGTCCAGATTTTGAATTATATTGTACAGTTTTTTCATCTACTTTTGATTCCTAGGACTCCTTTGCTCTTGGCTACAATGGCAGTACAGATGGGGAGGTCTTAGCTTCCCATCACATGAACACAGGAGGAAACCTCCGGAAGACTCACCTCTGGCACGCCTTCCCCACCACATGCTCTCGGCATTGGCATGCTCCAGAGTGCCCGCTGCACACAGATGTGAGTGCCCCGCCAATGTCACACTGACACCCTGGAAGTCAGGAAACAGCTGTGGTTACCATCCCCATACTGAACACTTCCCTCCCTCTACAAGAAAGGAACACTAAAAATCTCAGGGTTACAGCACCGCCTCTCTTCCTATCACACCTTGTATCTGGCAAGGGTTTGAAATAGGCAGGAGTCTTCCTAGTGGCAATGGCCTGTCCCTCCAAAAGTCCACTTCTAAGTTGGAGATGCATGACCACAGGCCAGCTGGAACACAGATGCCCAATGTGAAGCTAGTGATAGACCAAGAGCTGAACTAGATTTGGAAACAGTACTGTTGTAAATAAGGTATAAACTAAGAAGGGGCCACATGAGACATTCAAGGGTAACCTTCAAGGGGCCAACTGTTGCTGTGATTTCGTTATTTAATTCAACCCTATCTCCAAAAGTCTGGCTTTTCTGATAATACAAAGTATAGTTTTAAAGTCACTGAGTCTTGATGTTATTTATAACATTAACAGATATCTTCCCATTCCAGGTATATTTCTTTTAACAGTGTTCTGCTAAAAGAGAAGTGGAAACAGCCCCATTTGCAATTTATGATTAGTGTCAACCAAATATTTGGCCCAATGCCCCACATCCCAGAAAATCAGCCTGAAGACAGTGAGCACAGGAGAAAGGTTATTCTGACAGTCTGTGTCCTTCGACGCTTTGCTCTGCTCAGAACACACTGGATGTAGGTACTACCTTGACACCCAAAGTAGTTTCTCTTTTCCAGAGCGAAATATCCGTCTTCACAGGTATCACAGGCATCACCGCTCACATGGACCTTGCAGTGACAGTCACCGTCTCCCTGTAGAACAATGAGCCAGATGACAAAATTTGATACCGTTACAGATTTCATCTTCAAGACTGAAAAAATGGCTCATTGTACAATAAGCAGCAAGAAAAAGATGACCATGAGCGGCACGCCTGGAGAAGTACTAACATGCTCCCCAGGAACTCCTCAATCAATTGCTCCACATCCCTTTGGTCTATGAAAACCGGCCCTCATTACCTGCCCACATTACCTGCCCACATTACCTGCCCACACTCTCCAACTCCACTCACTGTTCCTGCCTCATGGCACTGGCACTCTGTGGAGATAAGAAAGTGTCCTGAAACCAAGGATCACCCAAAAGACAGCTCCCTGGCTCTGGGCACATGTCACTTTTGCAATACAACACCTGCAGGTAGACTTTCCTGCACCCTTCAGCAACGATGAGGCCTAAAATTGGATGGCTTTCTGAGACTAGCAGAACAGACCAACAAATATGATCCATCTAGAAGGATGGTTAGTTTATGGCTACTCCAAGACAAAACTGCAACCTCATGGGATTTGAATGTCAAGGTCATTGTTGATGTACTTGCATGAAAATATACTCTATTTATAAAGACACTCACTTCAGTGGGTGCAGTGGTGCATACCTGTAATCCGGATTACTGTGGAGGCTGGAGCAGGAGGATCATAAATTCAAAACCAGCTTAGGAAACATAGGGAGACTCCATCTCAAAAAAAGATACACAGCCGGGTGTGGTGGCACATGCCTGTAACCCTGGTGGCTTGGGATGCTGAGGCAGGATCGCAAGTTTGAAGCCAGCCTCAGCAATTTAGTGAAGCCCTAAGCAACTTAGTAAGACTCTGTGACCCTGTCTCAGAATAAAAAAATTTTTAAAGGGCTGGGGATGTAGCTCAGTGGTGAAGTGCCCCCAGGTTCACTCCCCAGCACCAAAAAAACAAAACAAAACAAAACAAAAAACAAAAAAACAGATAGAGAGATTCAGGGCTGATGATGTAGCTCGTAGTAATGCACTTGCCTAACAGATGTGAGGCCCTAGGTTAGATCCCCAACACAATAAAAAATAAAAAGAGAGAGATTCACCTAATTTAGTACATTTAACCTGCAATGTTCAACTTGTTATCCGGGTTTCAATACACGTATAAAATTATAATAAAATTAAGCCAGAACGAGTGAATCATAGAAACAAAGAGGTAAAAAAAAAAATATTTATCAAGAAGTTGCTGTTACAGACAATAAAATACATATGGAAACAGGATGAAAATCCCTCGCTGAAATTTTTGAAAATGACAGAATTTCTGCCAAAAGTGTCAGGGGAAGACATCAAACACTGCACAGTAGGGGTTCATAGGTGACTAATAAATCCATAAATCAGAACAAGGCACCGAATAACACACACACAAAATTACACAGGATTTTGGACAAATTAAATTGCTTCAATAAATGGCTTTTTGTGAGTTTATTTATTGAAACAGAGAAAATTAAGAGGAAGTTACAAAATAGGAAGTGATGGTGTATAAATACTTTACCTGAACATCCACTGGGATTTTCTCTGGCCAGATTCCAATATAATGGTTTGCAGATACTACAAGTAGGACTTTCCACATGAAGCTTGCATTGGCAATACCCCTTAAAATGCAAATCAAACTAACATTTGACATCTTGGAATTAAAACCTGTTTTCAAAACAGTGTTCTGGGTAAAGGCTTGTCGCAGAAATACAATATGGCCATGAAAAGTAAATTAATTGTATCCAGGGGGAACAACAGCACTGGGTTAATTTCAACAGGCTAATTGCTTTTTGTAAAGTTCATTTACTTGTTACACATATAATCCACATTTGCTATTAAAAAGAAATCAGGAAAGTACCAAGAGAAAAAAATAAATGTCTTTCTTGTAATATTCCCAGTGTCTGCGGATGCTGTTACCGTGTGGAATACAAATTTACATGGAAACGTATCTGAATATGCATGATGCTGGGAATCAGTAAAGAATAGTATTTTACTAAGAATGCTTATGTAAAAATGTGGATGTGTAACAGATGTGATTCTGCAATCTGTATTTGGGGTAAAAATGGGAGTCCAACTTGAATCTATTGTATGAAACATGATATGTCAAGAGCTTTGTAATGTTTTGAACAACCAATAAAAAAAAAAAAAGAATGCTTTTATAAAATTTAAGATTCACTGCCTGGGGCTGGGGTTGTGGCTCAGTGGTAGAGCACTTGCTTCGCCCGTGTGAGGCACTGAGTTTGATTCTCAGCACTGCATATAAATAATGAAGTTTTTTTTTTTAAAGAGAGAGAGAGAGAGAGAGAGAGAGAGACTTTAATACTGTCAAGCCTCATAGTAAGGACGACAAAACATCTGTCCCTCTGTCCATCTAATGCCTGAAGTCACATCTCTAGGTCATGAGACCAAGAAGAGAGATCATTTCTAAAGACCCTAGAAAACTTGAGAACACCACACTATGTGCTTAGAATAATAAAAAAGAAATGGGGGTTACTTTGTGCCTAGCCTGTTTTATTTAATTTGTCCTTGGCTACTGAAGGGGCCTTGGCAGGACTCCATAGTGGCAACACCATCAGAGTATCTGACAATAAAGGTTAAGCCCGAAGACTCCAGAATAAAAAAAAATTTATTTAACTTTTTTTTTTTCCGGGGGAAAAACCCCCCAAATTCTTGGGCTTTTTGAAAAAAGAACACCGACCTCTTTAAGCAATGTGTGCCTTATTTCAATTTACTTTTAATTTCAGGAAGCTCCCACATGGTTAGTCTTGAGTAAGAATCAGAATAATAAGAGCTGCCAACTTTACACACATCCTTTACTTACCAAGCTGGAGTCGATGGTACCAGCTGGGTCACAAGCACCACTGGAACCTGTATGTGATTTAGAGATGTTTTAAATGTCTGACAGTTAATGGTCTCCATGCTTCAAGCTTTAAAAGTTCTGCTTGTTTTTTAAAATAGCGCACCTGTATGTATGTTTTTGATAAGTGCAAGGCAAAGGGAGTCTTCCTGAATAATGTTCACGATCCTTGATCCCAAAGTGCCCCCTTTGTCACTGAACAACTCTATTCCTTGCCCACTAACAAAATGTCATTGCTACTTGATGAAAGAAACTGGGGGGAATAAAATTTTAAGCACATTTACAATCGGCCAGAAGAGGGCAATATTATACCAAGAGATGGTTACTTGTTACAGGATTTATTTATAAATTTGTCCTTGAGTTAACCAAGCATTGATTCTTCAATTATCAAGCCCCCTTGTTTCCCACCTGCATTAAAGGTCTTCTAAAAATTTGTTCTACTTAGTTACTCATGACAGTAGAATGTATTTTGACACATTATACAGGCACATCCTACTCTGGGATTCCCTTTCCTTCCGAGGACCCTCGGGCCTTCCCAGGCAAGAGTAGCCCCTCTGGCTGGTACCTGAAATTCCCACTCTCAGGAGAACCTGGTCTTGAGGATTCTGGTGACGACGGTTCTAGGCAATGAAGTCTGTGCTACAGCCTATACCAGTAGGCTCTGAGCACCGCGGCTCCAGGTGGTTATGAAGAGCACAAAGGGATCCGAGGAAACCACGTTCTCCCGGTGGAAAATCTGGGTCTCCTGGGTCAGCCTCACAAGTCAGTCTCTCTCTCTCTCTCTCTCTCTCTCTCTCTCTCTCTCTCTCTCTCTCTCTCTCTCTCTCCCTCCCTCCCTCTTTTTTCCCAGTACTAAGGATTTAACCCAAGAGTGCTTTGCGGCTGAGCTACATTCCTAGCCCATTTTTGTTTGTTTTGTTTTAAATTTTGAAACAGGGTCTCACAAAGCTGCTGAGGGCTTCACTTAGTTGCTGAGGCTGGTCTTGAACTTGCCATCCTCCTCCCTCAGCCTCCTGAATCATTGGGATTATTGATGTGTGCCAGTGTACCCAGCACAAGTCCCTCTTTTAACAGAGCAAGAGACCTTTGAAATCACCAGGAGCTCCTGGCCCACACAGGAGGCTCCCTGCACCAGGGAGCTTGGGAAGGACACAGGCAACTCATTTCTGCCCCTTCTGCCACATATCACACCCAACTCACTTTCATTCTCAGGTTTCCATCTGCTCCTTGGCTCACTGTTTCCTGACTGCATGGGCTTCAGTGCACCCCAGGTTCCTCCCCTCGTGCCAGTGCTGAAGTGTGATGACAGTCCCTCTGGGGATCAGAGGCAGGAAAGGAGCAAGGGCAGAAGCACAGCCCAGGCCTCACCCAGCCCTCAGCAAGGGGCCTGGTGGAAAGACCCCAGTGCCTCCCATCAGTGCTGAGAGCCAGTAAGGAGAGCAGGCCTTACTCTGCCTGGGCACAGGGGCCAAGATCGCTAGGTTACGCTCAAAGAAGATGCTTTTCCACACTGATATACACAGAGAATTGACATGTAATCAAAAAACCCAGATATATATTACATGAGAATCTAAATTATTTTTTAGTTAGAAACAAACAATCCTTTGTGAATAATGATGCCTATGTTTATATGTGAAATATGTGTTATCAATGGACTTGAACTGGGGCAGATTGGGTCAAATGGGTCGGGGTGACCATGGATGGTTGCAGCTTCTCTGGGAGGTTGGCTTCACACACAGAGAGGAACCGACTCTCCAGCATTCTGCTGGCTTCTCTACCTTGACAGTAGGGGAAGTCATAGGCTCCTGAGAGACATCTGTCACACCGCTGTCCTGTTATCCCTGGCAAGCATTCACACTGTCCAGTCACCGGGTGGCAAGGCGTTGGGTAGGATCCAAGGGCTGAGCACTGGCAGGCTGGAGGAAAAGAAATCAGTCAGACTCAGGGCCTGGGCTGTGGAAGGGGCTGTCTCTCCTCTGACCTTCTCCTCTGAACTTTTTTAGCCAGAGGATTTCACAGCATCCCGGATTAGACCCCTGGGGTGGGGCCACAAAGACCCAAATGCAAGTTGCAGCTCCATCTCTTACTAGACCTAGAACCTGGAACTAGATGCTCAACTGATGTAAACCTTAGTTTCCCTTCCTATCAATAGGACTGACCCTGGCATCTACTTGATAAGATTGTTGTAAGTATTAGTGAATACTAGAAAGAGCTGGGATACCTACTCTCACAGTGACCACTCAGGAAACACTAGATGCTGTTGTTATAACTTTGTATTTAGCCAGATTGGCTGGTGGCTCGCCAGGGTTTGGGGGATGCTTCTCACACACAGCAATGGTGTTCATAAGAGAAGAATGACAGGGACAGCTGATGGGAGATGTGACTCACTGAAGGATCCATTCTAACTTCACATTCTCCTGGGAATTGAGTGCAAACCACTTCAACCCAGATCAGCCTATAACTGAACCCCTGTTTTCCTTTGTCCTCCTCTCTTCATATCTATTTTCTCAAGGTCTAGTGGAGTTAAATAATCAAGGAAAAACGTTACACATCAGGAGTGGGAATGGATGGAAAAGGCATCCCAGTATCCTTTGCCCGGCTTCAACCTGTTATCATCATCTTTGGCAAAGGGGGTGAATACACACTTATAGGTGGAGAGAACAGATTCTGGCCACTCCCCTCTTGGCTTCTTTCCCACTGAACCCTGCAGGGTTGGCGTTGTTGAGTGTCACTCCCATTAGAACTGTGAGCACCCTGCTCTTGGATTGGTGTGCACAGAGGATACAACCCAGCTAACTTCTTCAGCCAGAGGGTCTCACATCTTAAGAATGGAAGGCACTAGAAAGATCATCACAATGTATTTCACCACAACATGGTGAAGATCAGAAGTTAAGTGGCACTCTCAGAGTCACCAAAGTAGCCTGTAGCAAAGAGCTTCTACCTCTGGGGTGAGACACATCTGGATCCAAATACCAGCTGTGCCACTTGTTATGGTTTAGATGTGGTGTCCTCAAAAAACTCACATGTGAGACAATGCAAGAAGATGTGGAGGAGAAATGATCAGGATGATTGGGTTATAGCTTTAACCTAATCAGTGAATTAATCCCTGATGGGATTAACGAAATGGTGGCTAGAGGCAGACGGGGTGTGGCTAGAGGAAGTGGTTCATTGGGAGCATGGCTATGGGGTATATATTTTGTATCTGGAGGGTGGAGTCTTTCTTTCTCTCTCTGCTTTCTGATCACCATGTGAGCTGCTTCCCTCTGCTTCACTCTTCCGCCATGATGTCCTGCCTCACTTCGAGCCCCAAAGAATGGAGCCAGCCTTGTATGGATTGAGACCTCTGAAACCATGATCCCTGAAATAAACTTTTCCTCCTTTAAAATTATTCTGGTCAGATCTTTTAGTCACAGCAGCAAAAAAGCTGACTTAAGCACCACTTAATAGCTGTACAGTCATTAGCAATTTATTTAGTCTTTTAAAGCCTCAGTTTCCTCTCCTGTAAACTGATATAGAATCTACCTGATGAGGTCATTAAAGAATCATCAGAAATGAGGTACAAGAAGCCCTGAGCATGATGTTTGGCAAAGAAGAAGTACCCAGTGTTTGCTCTTACTGATGTTGCTCTAAATAACAAACTCCCCCAGTGCACGTGGGAATGTTCCTTACACTATTCCACCTTGAACTAATGGCAGTCAATGAATAAGTATTTCTGACATCCAAATTTATGATCAGAGCATGCAGTTTAAAAACAACAACCACCTTTTTGCCAGTTCTCAAGAATTCCATACAAATTGAGACTTTGGGAAAGAAAAGAACTATACAGTAAAGTCTCACTTCTGATGTTTTATTTATAGGTACCCTTGGGATGTGAAAAGTCCCACATGACTATGCCTTGGAGCACTGCGCCCTTTGTGGGGACAAGACCATGCTGTTTTCATTGTTTGACAGGACTTAATTCAGCCTGTATGTGGTGATTTACCCTGAAAGTGCTTTTTAGTAGTAATAATAATGAAAAACAGAGTTTGCCCTTGTTTTCATTGGAATCATGAAATAAAATCTCACTAATGGAGGGGAATGAAGCTAGTTTATCCTCGACAAATTACCTGAGAACTCTACAGGCTGTATGATTTGTTCAGAGCGACATGATAAGTGGCAGATTTAGGGAATTTACCACCATCCCACCCTATTTTATATCCATCCAACCAGCAGGTATTGATTGGCAACCTACCACATTTGATGACATCATGGCTAGGTGCTATGGTGGAGGTAAATACAAAAATACATATCCCCTGATCTCAAAGAGCTGGAGAATTACTGACATAGTATGAAGTGCCCGACCCCACGAGAAACTAAATGTGAGAAACATGCCGAATGCTACTCTAGCAGATGTTGAAAAACAGCAGGACAAGGACTGTTATTTCCTGCTGCCATTCCTGTAAGTGTTCTCTCATGGCACTGGGGCCCCACCAAACCTGTCTGCAGAGATTAAGCCCCTACCTAGTGGCAAGTTTCTGAGCAAATGCTCTTGAACTCTGTGCTGGTTAAATTCTATGAGTCACCTTGACTAGATAGGCTGTGGTTGGTACCCAGATGTTTGATCAAACTCTAGTCTAGAGGTGCCACGAAGATATTTTTTAAATGAATTAATTAACATTTAAATCAGTAGGTTCTTGAGTAAAGCAAATTATATTCCATAATGCAGGTGGGCCTTATACAATCAATTGAAGGCCTTAAGAAAAAAAAAGATTGATGAACCTCAAAAAGGAATTCTGCCTACATACAGCCTTCAGACTTGAGTTGCAAAATGAACTCTTCCCTGCG